GTTGTGACTACCAATCCTCCCTGTGTAGACCCTCATGTTCCGAAAACTACGACAAATGGTTAATAGGAAGGTGCTATGATTATACAAGTTACTCATGTTATTTTTTGTTTTATTTTTTTAGAATATATTTGTCTAATAATTAGAGCAAATTGAGTCTGTTGTGGTGATTTCGGTTACAGATAAGTGTTCATTATTTCTTATACTGTACTATATTTTCTTTGTCTTTCTGCTACTTCTATTTTATCTTCTTTTTTTTTTTAGATACTGCAGCTGGATCTCGTGCTTCTAATTAACCAAGAATTCGACTACAAAATTATAGTTAAGATGAATAAATTGACAATCACAAAAAATAAATTTGGACAATGATTCTCTTTTTCACGATCGAATTATGATACTATAACGTAAGGGATTTAATACTACCGGATTCTAATATACGTCACTCTGGTTATATCGACATCTGGATATATCACCAACTGAGGTATAACATCTTTTAAAAATTTAGACCTATATATTTAATATGAAAATGCCTTTGGCTAAAACGACATCTGGCTATAACGATATTTTTTAAAAATTTAAACATATATACTTAATATGAAAATGCCTCTGTTCATGACTGAATTATGGAATATTTTTAGAATTCGAATTCTAAGAGTTTTTTTAAAAAAATATTTTGAAATTTTTATATGCAATTTTTTTTTTTGTTTTTTTACTATCGAATTCTCTAACATATCTATTCTATCTGATATTTAGGCACTATATATTCGATATATCTTACTTGCTCTATCCACTCTATCTACCAATCTGGAGCATCGACTAATGTTGTGCAAATCGATCGAAGCCACCTTGAAGACGATTTATCCTTTTCGCTAACTGTTTTGTATGGGTCTCTAACGAATATGAGTATTCTCATTGAGTTTCAAGTGTTTAGCATACATGAGGGTGTAAGTTATGCTGCAGGGTTGTGACTACCAATCCTCCCTGTGTAGACCCTCATGTTCCAAAAACTACAACAAATGGTTAATAGGAAGGTGCGATGATTATACAAGTTACTTACGTTATTTTTGTTTTTATTTTTTTTAGAGCATATTCTTTATAAATCGCGTAAACATGAAGAAGTATTGGTACAGATCGTGTTGATTGTTGAATGGTCTTGATAGGTGAAATTTTCTAGTGAAAAAGTATGAGAAACGTCGGAATACGGACAATTAGAGCGAATTGGGTTTGTTATAGTAATTTCGGTTATAGATAAGTGTTTACTGTTTCTTATATGTTATATTTTCTTACTCTATCTTCCAGGTACTAATTTTTTTATCTTATTCGTTGGTCACAAAATTATAGTTAAGTAAGTTGAATAACGAAATTGACAATCATGAAAATTATTAGTAAAAAATTTCGCAATATATTTTGACACTCTTACTCATGATCGGATTACAGTTTTTGGTCTTAACACTTATCACTTCGAAGTTATGAAATGAGTGCGTGAGAATAAAAACCTGGAACTGATTATAATGATTTACTATGATCAGTTACAGGTTTTCATTCT